AATATTGGCGAGGAACCAGACCACTTAAATCAGAGCTCGTCTCCTGCTCAAATGTTTCCCTGGATGAGACCACAAGGTTGGACGCAGTCAAAAATTTGCTTCCATCTCACGTCTGAGTTTGAAACTTTCTTTTCCTCCTCCCGCTTCTTTCTCGCTGCCTCTCGCTCCCTGCCTCTGCCTCCCGCTCCTCCCTGCCTCTCTCCCCGCGATTCCTATCACCGCGGCGGCTTGCGAGAATAAAGCGATACAGTAAGCAAACAGAAACCTCTGCAGAAGGCGGCTGCCACCCCAGGAGTAGCCTTAAAGCCGCCTCTCGGACGCAGAGGCGCAGCTCACACGCTCGCCCCGCCTCCGCCGGCGGCGGCCGGCACCGCCGCTGCCTGAACGGGAAGGGTGCAGGGCCGCGGGGGGGGACCGGTTGCCAGATAATAAAGTGACCCCGTAAACTCGGTCCCCGCGACCCCGGTGCAGGGGGAGAGCTGAGGCGCTTCGTGCATCTGCTACCGCTGCTTTTCCCGCACCCGTGTGTAAAGCTCTAGACGCCTCCGTGCCCTCTGCTTTCTCTCCCTGCGTTTCTGCGGGGCTCCTCTCCAGGGATTTCCAGGGGGGACTCGAGCCCAAGCTCCCTGCCTGCGCCTTGTTCTGAACGACCGCACCAACCTCCAAAACCCTGTGTTTTTGTTTTACACAGCAGCGCCGGGTAGGAGGAGAGGAAGACAGACATACAGCCGATTCCAGACTCTAGAGCTGGAAAAGGAGTTCCTCTTTAACCCCTATCTGACCAGGAAGAGGAGGATCGAGGTGTCCCATGCACTAGGACTCACCGAGAGGCAGGTAAAGATCTGGTTTCAGAACAGGAGGATGAAATGGAAAAAAGAAAACAACAAGGACAAATTCCCCGCTTCCAGACAGGAGGGAAAGGAAGGGGAGGCCAAAAAGGAAGCACATGATCTGGAAGAAGACAGAGCTGAAGGCCAGACGAATTAGATTTTGCCCTAAAAGCCTTTGTGAAAGGCTATAAAAAAATAACCAGCGCCATAGCCCGACATCTCGGCCCGTCTCCCCCTGTACGTGGTCCTGCCGTGGGACGAGTGACCCCGTGTCCCTCCGCTTGACATTTCTCTGCTTCGGGTGCTTCACTTTTTTGCGGTTTTGTTCTGTTTTGTTTTTAACCGTATCCGGAACAATCTCTAGATTTAACAGTTTATCTACTTCTTTCGGAAATTTGATACAGCGTTTGTAGCAATACATGTCTAATGATATATATAAATACCTTTTTTTTTTCCCAATCCTTAAGAGACGGTGATTGCGGGAAACGACACGAACTTCCTAATAAGAAATACCAATAAGCAAGACATTTAACAATGCTTTATTAATCAAGACAAGTGCACTTGTACTATTTTAATTCTTGTTCTTATCTTAAGTAAATTAAATAAATTTAATAAATTTGAAGAAAAGATCTTAGAAATATATTTAACCTTCTGCTATTGATATTTGATTAAAAT